CTACACACGGAGTCTCTCCCTTGCTCTTTAGAGTCCATGAGATAAGAAATAGGAAAATCCTGATTTAAATATTTTGGAGATTGGAAGGCACAGATGGGCCTGGCTACACTTTTCATGGGGGATGTGGGAGGGTTCTGCCTTCCCCATGAATTAGGGGATTGGAAGTAAAGGGGAGTTCTGGATATAAACCAAGTGGGGGGAGGGAACTGGAAATACACATGGGGGACAGCCTCCAGAAGCCCGAAGGGTGAGATCTTGTCACCCCACTATCCTTGCCCTTATGTGAAACAAGGAAAAGAGGCATTTAGATACAGGCAGAGCTCTTGGTATTCTTTTAGACTTGGGAGTTCTTCAGTAAATAAGCTCTTTAGTTTTCATTTCTGCCAGTAAGTGGTGATCTATTATTCTAGTCACATTCATCTCTGCCTTCACGGGGGCATTTTGAGGATCCAGAGATAAAAAACACACAGCATGTCTGATATTGTCTATCGATCCTATCCTATGAATCTCATCTCATCCTCCCATTACTTTTCCCAGACATGACATTTAGTTTAGTTCAGTTTCTTTCCCAATTATGCAATTCTAACCATGGTGTCTTGTCTTCTGACTCCGTGGCTTTCAACACCCTTTTCTGGGAGCTTTGGAAAGGGCCACAGATAAAGGAAGAAGCCCCAGCATCTCATTCTAGAGAGAGGAAGGCCCCAACAACCAGGAAGTGGGAGCTCTGTCCAGGTCAGGACAAAATTGTATGGTCCCACTTAAGGACACATAGCAGGAACATCAGTTGTGCACCCCTCAAGACAGCAACCATGAAGACCTCTGAACTGTTTTATTTCATGCAAACCTTGAGCTACTGGTGGAATGAAGGACCAGGACAAACTTGGGACTGTATCTTCTCTTTGGAGGGGGCAAAACGCACACCAAGTTTATTAGTGAAATGAAGGGAGGAGTCAGGGCCGGGAAGGTGAGATTCTGAGCACATAAATAACCTATGATTACAGATTCAATTCACATCATTAACTCCCACCCCATTGCCTTCCCCTCCACACACACTCTTCTCCCAACATGGCTGCCAGGTGGACGTGGCTGGAGATCAGAGATCATTCTCCTGGGGTAATGATTCTAGTGTCCAAATGATCTCTGTGTGACAGCAAACAGGACAGTGAAGACCAGGCTCTTACTCAGGAGTCCACAGGCTATAGGAACAACGATGCTGAACACAGGGATCCTAGGGAGAGAGGAGATTGATTACTACTACTGGCAATGACACTTTTAGGGCCTTCTGTGCCTTCCCCATACTAACTAGCCTGGTGCAGTTCATTTTGTCCCATTGCCTACAACTACTGATTAGAAATATATTTAGTAGAGAGCATAAGGCCCATGTCTAGGAGAGGCAGGAGAAAGGGTGAGCCTGATGTACCTCATGTTCCTTCTTCCTTCCCTCATTCCTTTCTTCCCCTCCTTCCTTCCTCCTTTCTTTCCTTCTTCCCTTCCGCCCTTCCTTGTGATGCAGCAGGGAGAGTGGGCTCCTGGGGCCAGAAAACCTGGTCTCTATTCTCAGCACCACGACCACCTCCTGGATGGTCGCCTCACCTTGTTGGCCTCAGTTATCTCATTTATAAACTAAGGAGAATCCAACTCTAGTCAATATCTCATCATGAAGTTTTATAGATGTTTTAGAAAAATAATTCTGAAAGTTCTGGATACATGTCAATAGATAACATAAAAAGACATACAAATGAATGAGGAACTTGGCTTGTGTCAATCAGCAGATACAAGTATTCCCTTAACAGACAGGGTTGAGGAGAGGAATAGGTATCCATGGAATAAGCAGAAAGTCAGGTAGTTATCAATAGTCTAAAAAACTGAAAACAATCTCAATGTCTAAGAATAGGCAAGTAATTATATGAATTACAGTTTTCCAGTTGATAGAAAAGTGTGCAAAGCTATGAGCAGAAATAAAGATGTGAGCATTGAAATTATAATTAAGAAGATTAGGTAGGAATATTAAAAAATAATTTTAGCAGGAAAAACAATGAAAAATTTATAATTAGAATTACTGCTATGTTAATCATATGCAATCATGAAAGACTAGAAAGGAATATGAAGAAAAAAGACATGCTAGATTGGTGGGAATACGGGAGAATATTTCCTTATCTCTGTTAATTTAATATTTAATGAGAAAGACATTCTAAACTAAACCAAGATTTAATCCCCCTTTAATAAGTAAGTGGACAGAAGTCACAGAATACCAAATTAGTTGTTCTTTGTCTTTTTTTTTCCTTTCTTTTTTTAATGTTTTAGCCATAGGCACTCTATCCGTGCATTCACTGGAGAGACAGAGAGAGACAGTGAGAGGGAAAGTGAGAAATCACTCCCCAAAGGGAGGGCCAGGCCACAATTCCTTCTCCTCCATTCTCCTCCTGGAATTTTGGGAATGCATGCACGTGCATCTGGTGAGAGTCTCAAGCCACTAGATCCAAGACTTGAACTGTGGTCAGCCATGTGGGAATCCAGTGCTTTAACCATCATGCCACCTGATGCCCCACAAATTAATGGTTCTTAATGTTGTCTATATATTAGAAATCTTCCAGGGACCAGCAAGTAGCATGGTGATTAAGGTACTGGCTGGCCATTGCTGAAGTACTGAATCTAGCAGCTTGAAAATCATACCAGGCATGTGTACTTGCCCAAAATCCTGAGAGGAGGGACCAGCAGTTAGCATAATGGCTATGTCACTGGACTCCCACATAGTCGACCGTGGTTTGAGTTCCGGACCTGGCAGCTTAAACTCACGCCGGGTGCGTGTGCATGCGTGCCCAAGATCCCAAGAGGAGAATGGAAGAGAAGGGATTGCGGTGTGGCCATCCCCCCAGTGGGTGATTTCTCACTTTCTGTCTCTCTGTCTCTCTCTGTCTTTCTGGCGAGCATACCACCCTATAGCAAAAACCTCTCGAAAAAAAAGAAAAGAACCAAAATCCTAAGAGGAGAATAGAGAAGAAGGGATTATGACATGGCTATCTGCCTCAACGATGATTTCTCACTCTCTCTCTGTGTCTCTCTCTGGCAAATGCATGCATGCTATGCCAAAAACCTAAAAAAAATGTATATCTTCTGAAGATCTTATGAAAATATTGAGACCAGCCCCACCTCCAGAAATTCTGAGAGTCTTGGTCTGTGGTAGGGCACATGCATCAGTATTAAGAACAAACAAAATAGGGACCAGCAGTTAGTGTAATGGCTGTGTCGCTGGACTCCCATGTAGTCGATCGTGGTTCGCGTCGCGGACCCGGTGGCTTAAACTCACACTGGGCACGTGTGCGTGCGTGCCCAAGATTCCGAGAGGAGAATGGAGGAGAAGGGATTGCAGCATGGCCATCCACCCTGGAGGGTGATTTCTCGCTTTCTGTCTCTCTGTCTCTCTCTGTCTGTCTGGCGAGCGCATGCACCCTATAGCAAAAACCTCTC